AAAGCCAGAGGCAGCCAGGCAGGTAGTATTTTCATACGAGGGTCGGCAATGGCAGCCACCTGTCTGTCAGGCAGGTAGTATTTTTATACGAGGGTCGGCAATGGCAGCCACCTGTCAGGCAGGTAGTATTTTCAGACGAAGGTCAGCAATGGCAGCCACCTGTCTGTCAGGCAGGTAGTATTTTTATACGAGGGTCGGCAATGGCAGCCACCTGTCAGGCAGGTAGTATTTTCAGACGAAGGTCAGCAATGGCAGCCACCTGTCTGTCAGGCAGGTAGTATTTTTATACGAGGGTCGGCAATGGCAGCCACCTGTCAGGCAGGTAGTATTTTCAGACGAAGGTCAGCAATGGCAGCCACCTGTCTGTCAGGCAGGTAGTATTTTTATACGAGGGTCGGCAATGGCAGCCACCTGTCAGGCAGGTAGTATTTTCAGACGAAGGTCAGCAATGGCAGCCACCTGTCTGTCAGGCAGGTAGAATTTTCAGACGAGGGTCAGCAATGGCAGTCACCTGTCTGTCAGGCAGGTAGTATTTTCGGTCGAGGGTCAGCAATGGCAGCCACCTGTCTGTCAGGCAGGTAGTATTTTCAGACGAGGGTCAGCAATGGCAGCCGCCTGTCTGTAGGGCAGGGAGTATTTTCAGACGAGGGTCAGCAATGGCAGCCACCTGTCTGTCAGGCAGGTAGTATTTTCAGACGAGGGTCAGCAATGGCAGCCACCTGTCTGTAGGGCAGGTAGTATTTTCAGACGAGGGTCAGCAATGGCAGCCACCTGTCTGTCAGGCAGGTAGTATTTTCAGACGAGGGTCAGCAATGGCAGCCGCCTGTCTGTCAGGCAGGTAGTATTTTCAGACAAGGGTCAGCAATGGCAGCTGTCTGTCTGTAGGGCAGGTAGTATTTTCAGACGAGGGTCAGCAAAAGCAGTAGGTGCTGAATGAGTGAATAAAGATGTCTTCCCGTCACTGCAGGGAGTCGAAGGTGAAAGGGTAACCCATGGAATGGTGTCCATCCCTCTGGCGGGTGTCATAGGAAGGGGGAGGAGCCAGGAGCCTTCCATACAGGTAAGAACAATACAGAATTCACCCTTCACCTATCTGACTGCAATAAACTGAACCGCGTTCGGTCGCCACGGGCAACGGCACCCGAGCGTAAACCGTCAATGCATATTACAAATCTGAACGGAGCTGCAATTTGTTAGCGCAGGGTGCGACGTTCAAACGCATTTACCTGCAGCAGCCAATCAGAAATGATATTTCATTGCCCCCAACAGAAAGCCAACATGTCACGACTAGCTCGGGGCTCTTCCTAAAGAAAGAAGCCCCCCCCCATAGAGATTTCTCCTCCCATTGCAGGGTGACCCAGACAGATAGCAGATGAGACGGGCCCCTCCCTCTGCAGGGCCACATAGTAAGACCTTTGGTGACGTACAATTTGTACTGTCATGACGCTGAGCTTGGCTGCGTGATGAGCCGTGATCGGTTCGCCCTTTCCTGCGGCAGGGGGAGTAGGTGGTACATGTATCGGCGATGATGATATTTGTGCGTGGCTTTGTTAGAACAGAAAGGGTTAATTAGAGAG